ACATATCACAATTAATGATCACACATGTATCAGCTAGAAATAAATTTAAAAGAAAGAAAGAAAGATGTGCTCCAAGGACTCAGAAGCCATGGGTGAGGGATGGAGTTAGGGTTAGGATTAGGAGAGGGCTCTGTCATGCTTCTTGGTTGTGCCCTTGCATGACAGCTGCAGGTCCCTGTCTGTGCCAGTGTGGGGCCCAGGTCTGCTGGTGCCAGGTTCTCCCAATGCCAGAGAAGGGTGGATGGACACTGTATTACCTGGGAACAGTCACATAAGCTTCCCCAGGCCAGGCCTACCTTGAGTTTCTAAGTCTGGAAGATGAGTGGGTACAGGGAACCCACCATGGCTCCCAAAATATGCCACCATCCAGCAAGGAGGCCCAGGCTTTCCTCTTGAGGCACCACCTCCCAGGATCCTGACCAGACTGGAAATGAGGAGTGGGGAAGTAAGGAAACTGGGGCAGAATTGGGGCTCAGCAAAGCCATAATCAAGCCCCTTTGTCTTTGAGATCAGAGCCTATGGACCCAGTGATTCAGCCAGACAGAAGTGCCCTCACCCCAAGCCTGGGGACAGTTCCTTCCATGCCAAAGCTCATCCAAGATTGCCTTTACCAACAGGGCAGTGCCAGCTCCTTGACTGGCTGTCATGTTCCCCCAGGGCTCTGCCCCATATCTCCCATCCCTTATTCTGCCCAACAATACAAATGTCCCCAAAAGCCAGCCTGCACAACTTAGAGAGACTCTGTCTCGAACTGAAAAATAAAAAGGGCTGGTGATGTAGCTCAGTGGTAGAGCACTTCCCCAGCATGAACAAGGCCCTAGTTTCAATCTTCAACATGGCAAAATTTTAAAAATTAAATGAGGCCATAAGGTGAGGCTCTACTACAGTTGGATTGTGGCTTTCCAAAAAAAGCAAAGTCCTGAGCTGGGACAGTCTCTTATCAGGTGATGCCCTACACTCTCAGGACTCTGCAGAGTCCCCACCAGCCAGAATGCCCTCCTCAGGTGTGGCTGCCCAATCCTGATCTTCTCACCCTTCAGACCCACGAGCAACATAAACCTCTATTTATTTTTATAAAACACTCCATCTATGGTATTCAGAAAACCAACTAATCTACTGCCACTCTGTGCAGTTACTGGGATGACTAAAAGTGATAAGAATAAGAGCACCCAGCATGTAAGAAACACTCAATCCATGTTAGCTGTGATGATAAGGACACTCACTGTCACAGATCCTGAGCCACCAAGAGGGAGCATCTACAGCTTGGCTCTGGGACACCCACAGACTCCCTCCTCTGAGCTCCAGGGACTGTTCTGGGCTCTAGAATCCAGAATTGTTGTAGTTTAGATCTATAATGCACCCCAAAACTCTCCTGTTCAGAGGCAGGGCTTTTGGAAGGTGACTGGATCATGGGGTGATCATGAGTGCATTTATCCATTGATGAGTTAATGGCTAAGTGTGCCAATCAGAGGCATGACCTGGTTGGAAATGGGTCACTAAAGGTGTCACCTAGAAGAGTGTATTCTTGTCCTCTGCTCCATCTCTCTCTGTATTTGCCTCCTGGCTACAATGAGGTGAGCCTCTTTCTGCCCTCCATCAGGCCCTTCTGCCATACATTTTTGCCTTGGAGCTAACCATGGACTGAACCCCCCTAGAAACTGTGAACCAAATAAAACTCTCTCTCCTTCAAGTTGCAAAGGGAAAGTAACTAACATAGGGAGGTCAGGTGTGCTTGCTGTATTTTCAGTTTATGCTATTTCTACCAGATGATGGGTTTATCAGATCCTAACCCCATGGTAAATTAGACAAGCATTTGTGCTTTCAGATCTGATAAAACACAAAATGGACCAACTGAGACCTCACTCCATGTCTCAACCTCAAGCACAGAGAGCCAAGTTAAAGTCTTCTATGCTCTGCCATTGGGGGACCTGATGTAAAGTACACATGTGTACACACACACACACACACACACACACACACACACTCCTTCCTGGCCCTCCCAGAACATCTGAGCAGGAGCCTCTCCATTCACACATGCCCTTCCCTTGCCCTCTTCCAGTGCCTTTCAAGGAACAATTGTCTAAGTTGATTGGAATAAAGGATCTGGGCTCTTGCAATTTCCCAAGTGAGGCCACCCATCTGGTGACTTTGCCCTTTCCCCCAATTCACATCCAAGCCCCCCTCCCAGAAGCTGAGGCCAAAGCCAATGAACCAGAAGCCATGGTTTCAGCCTTGGACCAGCCACGGATGTCCTGTTTCTGCCCATAGATGCCCTGATGTCCTGGGTGTCACCAGGCAAACTGTGCTCAGCCTGGGCGTCTCCTCCCATACTGCAAAACACCTACCCAACCTGTGTGGCCACCCTAAGAAGAAAGTGACAGATCAGAATGAGCAGCTTTGTCAGCATCACAGTGTGTGTGGTGCCAAGAAGAGTGTCGCACTGGTTCAGAGCCAGGGCCTCACAGAGCAGGAGACAAATGAAGTCCTGAGGTAAAAAATACCTCTGACTACATTGAAAGAGAAATGTATTAGTGAACAAAGAACTCTAACCAATCCATAAAGAGGGAATAAACCAGAGAAAATGGGAAACCAATATGAACAGGTAGATCATAAACTGAAAAATCCAAAGGGTCACGAACACCTCAAGTAACAATAGGTGTCAATACTTAGCCCTTACCGAAAGTCAAACCTGCTTTTGCTTCACACATAGGTGCCATTTAAGCCCTCAGATCCAGCCAACAAGGCAAAGACTATCCCTATTCTCACTTCACAGATGAGGAAACACAGGACCGATGCCATTTCAACCACTTAGCCAGCATCACACAGCTCAAGGTGCCAGCAGAGAGATTCTCTCAGACAGTTGGGTGAAACATGACCTCTGCAAATCAAAATACCATCTCTTCACCTATCATACTAGCCAAAGTACAGTATTAAATTTGTTTGTTTTGTTTGGGTTTTGTTGTTATTGTTGCTTTATTCTTTTATTTGTTTGTTTGTTTTTTTGTTTTTAGGCAGGGTCTCGCTTTGTAGTTCAGACTGGCCCTGAACTCACTATGTAGCCCAGGCTGGCCTCGAACTCACAATAATCCTCCTGCCTCAGCCTCCTGAGTGCTGGGATTATAGGCATGTGCCCCCATACGCAGTTTACAGTATTCAATTTTGATTAGCACTCAAATGTTGGTGTGGATGTGAGCAAACACACACTTTCATGTAATGTTGGTGCAATCTTTTGGGAAGTAATTTTCTAATATCCATGGGCATCTTGGACATATCATACTTTTAATAGAAAGCTTAACCCATACATATTCTCACAGGGATATTTATTATTACACAGTTCTTATCACAGACAGGAAATATGGGAACAGGGATCTGTCCTTCATTAGGAGGAAGGAAAACTTGTGCAGCTTCTTGGAGAGATGACTTTGAGTTTGGCAGCTTCTTGCAAAATTAAACCTATCTTACCAAACAATCCAGCACTGCACTCCAACTGAGCTAAACTTAAGTCCACATGAAAACTGCCCACAAATGTTTACAGTGGGTTTATTCTTCATAGTCTGAACCTGGAAGCAACCAGGATGACCTTTCATAGGTGAATAGATAGACTCTGATACAGTCATACAATGGACATTGTTCAGCAACGAAAAGAAATGAGTTACCAACGATGAAAAGATATGAAGCTTAACTCCAGTCTAAAAAGACTCCGTACTACATGATTCTAGCACTACAACCTTCTGCAAAAAGCAAAGCTACAGACACAGTAAGGTTGTACAACCACTGTGGAAACCAATGTGGAGGCTCCTCAAAAAACCAAAATTACAGAGTCCATTCCACCCAGCTATTCCCCTTCTAGATATCTTCCTAAGAGTTAAAAACATCATATTACAGGACCCCATGCACACCCGTGTCTACAGCAACTCAACTCACAATAGCTAAATTTGGAAACAAGCCTATATGTCTATCAACAGATAAATAAAGAAAATGTGATATACAAACCATGGAGTACTACTTTGCCATTAAAAAGGATAAACCTGAGTCATCTGCAGGAAAATGGATGCACCCTGAGACCATAATGTTAAGTGTAATAAACCAAACACACAAGCATAGATATCGCATAGTTTCGCTTATTTAAAAAATCCAAACTATAAATAAACAGCAAAATAAAAGGCAGATAATAGGAAACAGGGACGTAGATCTTTCACAAATAAGAAGGAGATCAAGAGATGGAGGGAAGGAGAAAGAGAAAAAGGGAAGGGAAAGAAAGTGGAATTAAGATGTATGTTACACATGTACCATCTCCTCACAAGGAATGTAGTCATTACACACACAAACATGGACTAATAACAATTAAAATGTGAAAGGAAAAAAGAAGAACCGGTCAGGGGTTCTGAGCTTGTACAGAAGTTGTTGGCAGGAGGTCACAGAAATGATCATCCAGCAGCAACCTGTGGAGATTTTGAGGGAAGAGAGGGCCAGGCCAGCACTTCACACGGTTCTCTATTTGCAGTTCTTACTGGGAACATGTTCATCTGAAAACAAAAATTCACAGCCAGCTGGCTTAAATTCTAATCACAAAAAATTATGATTTTCACTTTTGAAAGACAAACCAAGAGCCAGGCCTGGCATTTGAGTTCGCACTCCTTCATCTCTAGCTGCTAAATCTCAGCCTATGGGTGTGGCAGACCTAACTATCCACAGGGGACGAGGGACAAGGAGAGGGGTGTCCTTGGCAGAGGAGGAGGCCAGGCTGTAGCTAGGAGCAATTTCGAAAGATGTGAGAGAAGACTTAGTCATTAAGAGAAATGACATTTAATGCAATGTTTTCAAAGTCAAAATTAACAAAAAAGTAAATGACAAAATGTCAACATTCCCAACAAACCCGGGTCCGCTTCCTGCCTTACAGCCCTGCCCTTTTGCAAGTCTCTGGCAGTTTTCCAAGCCACCCCCTCCCCCTCACCTCCTCCCCCACTGCCCCTGTACCCTTTGGCACCTGGGCTTCCATTCAGGGGGCAGTGTGGGTCCCCATAGAGTTCAAAGATCGGAGACCAGGGACATCAGGAGCTGGGACCTCAGCAGCGAGCCCTCTCCTTGCTCTCTGACCCCAGCTGGGTTTACAAGGGCCAGGCAGCTAGCTTGCCTAGATGAAGGTACCCTTGGATATAGTCTTCCAGACCCCTGACTGCTAAAAATGAGAACAGAAAGAGAGATGGGAGGCAGAAAGCTGGAGGTGAGGGACTGAGGAGACAGGAAAGTAGAAGAGCCTGGGTGGGGAGGGTACCTGTCCCAGCATAGCTCCTTCCTGAGCCCTGCTCAGGCCTGGGAAATAACCAAATCTACTTGATGTCAAAGTAAGAATTCTCCATTAGTCCCAATCCAGCTCCAAACAGGAGAGACACTCACAGATGGGACTGTGTGGCATGTCCCCAGGGAGGCTTACATCATGCCCCAACTCAGTTACAAGGCACATGAAATTCTCAACACAAGGCAGAAAGATGACCCACTGCCACAGGCCAGCAAGTGGACACCACCACCCGGCAAGCTCCTCCACCAACTCACCAGCAGCCCCCCCAGAAAGGACTTAGGGCTCACGGTGCCCTTGCAGTACAACCACTGACAAGCAATGTCTCTCAACATCATGGAGCCCTGGCAGGAGACCTCAGAGAGGTCCTGCCATCTCTGAGGAGATGCTCAGAGGCCACCCAGAAATTGGGGCAGTTTAGTGTTGTCCCACAAGAAAAGAGACAGGTAGAGAGGAAGCACGCAGGCCCCTGAACACCAGGAATGCCGAGAGACAGCCATAGCAGGGAAAATGTCCCCAACCATGGCAAGAGAGAGATGCAGGTCTGGAGTGGTGGGGCTAAAGCAAGGCAGGCCCCTGGCATAAGGGCAGAGACAGGAGCAGGGAAACAGGATGGTGGAGAGACAGAGTCCTGGGGGATAAGAGGACCTGAGACAGGAAAGGAGGGAGACTAAAGAGGAGAAGGATGAGGTAGAGACACACCGAGCTTCTCACTGTGCCTGGTTGCACACACGAGACCTCTAGTGGTCCCAGCAGTGTTCACAGGATGCAGAGAAGGCACTCTGTGTCTTTTTCAGGAAAGATGCTCAGAAATGAGAATTCCAAGAACAGACAGACCTTGCCAGGCATCCATGGGCACCTTCAAATCGGACACACTCTCCAGTCTGAGCTATGGATGCCAACTGCTGTATTCCCCAGGGGTTCACTTCCAGGTAAATTTTAAACTAACCCTTGCAGAGCTCAGGGTTAGGGCCCTGACCTGCCCTGCAGATTTACCTCTTCAAAGGCAGTGTGAATCCAGCTTTGGGGCAGGAGAGCCTCGCCCTACAGATCTTCCCCAGCCTGTGTTACCCATATCCCTTGGGACTGGCTTACGTTTCCTGGTTTATTATCCCTCTGTAACCACAGCAACAGAACCGGCCCTGTGTTTTGGACTCCTAGTCCCTGAAAATCTCCATGAGGGAGTTCTAGGGAGAAGCCCAACTCTCCACCCCAGGACCACCTCCCAGGTGGCACAGAGGAAGCCTGTCTGCTGGGTTGCTGGAAGAGTGGAGGCAGAAACTGGGCAGGAGGGATTCAAGGGTGAGGTGGCCCTGAGGCCTCAGAAGGGTGAACAGGCAGAGTCTGAAGACGTTTGCTTGCTGCTGATCTCAAACTTCTAGATGAGCTTGTTTGCCAGAAGTGGTCATATCTGGAAAAGGAAGCAGCTATCAATCAACAGCTGGACCACTTGTGTGGAGGAAGACTGGAGGTAGGCCACACCTAACTCACCTAATCCAGAGTCCAAGGGCAGAGATTAATAAGGACAACCTGACCATTTCCTGCCTTCCTTGCAGGGAGAACAGTCCTGGGACAGCGGTTTAGGTGACATTAAAGATTTGGGTTTTAATAACTTTGCCCATGATTACCGTGTGGATTCAGAGACCCAGTGACATACTCTGAACTTGGTGTAGGGCCTGCCCTCCCATCAAGCTGGATGAAAGCTGACAAAGGGTTAGTCATAGCTACAGATGTCAAAACTGGGCCAGGCCAGAATGACAAAGGAAAAGGAATTCAATGTGGGTGAATGCCAAGCTCCACATTTCCCTAACCAAGGTCACTTGGCACAAACATGAATGACACAGATTTGCTTCTGTGTAACACGTAAAGCAAAAGGCTGGGTGGAGGCCACAAGTTCCATATGCCTCCTGGGGATGTACTGCCTGGGACATGGACATATCCTGGCTACCTGGGACTCCTTCTGCCAGCCTCCCTGAGAACGTTTTCCTGGGATAAGGCAGAGACCTACACAGCCCTGCCACTTCCCAGCCTGCACATCAGACAGCCAGAACACCTGGTGTGTCCCCCTTTCTCAGGTGGCCCTTGTTCTGTGGGGCCAGGTTAGGCCTGGTGTCAAGTTCTTGCCCAGATTGGCCTTCCCCAGCTGTCCCTCCCCACTCCTCCCCTGTGGGTCACCATGAGCTTGGGGAAGCCAGCCCCACAGGAGTGGTGAGGGACAGGTTCTTCTGACAGGCTGCCCTGGGAACTGTGGTTTCCCAGGCACCGGCCCAAAACCAGGTGTCCTGAGAAGGGTACAGGGCTGAGGAGAAGGATCAGGAATGGCCCAAGAGGAAGAATGTTTAAGCAGGTGGCCAGTTCACAGCCAAGCTGGCCTTTTCTTTGGCTGAGGGACACCACATGCTGCCACCAGCACACATTCTGAGTTCTTCACATGGAACATCCCAGTCCATTCTCAAGACGGGCAAGGAAGGAGGCACTGCCATTGTACCCACCTTACAGCTGAGGAAGCTCAGGACCCTTGAGGCTGTTGGTGTGGATCCAGGTTCAGCTATAGACCCTAAGTGGTGACCTCAAGCCTAAAGCATTCAGACCACTTCCATTTCTGTTACAGAATAAGTTAGCATGACCAGAGGACAGAGACCCATACCAGCGGACCAGGAAGTAACATCACAGCAGAAGGAGCCACTTCCCACTTTTCCATCATTCCTACACTGACACCTGGCCAGCAGGAGCAAGGAACAGCTCCTCCCCATTTGGGTCTTGGTTCCTCATGAGGCAACAGCATCCTGGGGCCAAACAAGAGATGAGTGTCTGTGTCCTGGCCATGAGGTGATAAGCCCCAGGAAGCCAGGCTTTAGCTGTCAGGGACCCTGGCTGTTGGGCAGAGAAGGGGACATTCCAGAGAAGACAGGATTCTTATGAGACAGGAGCTCTCAGACTTGGGTTTATGCTCCAGGGAACAGAATTTACTAGAACAAAATTAACAAGATCATCAAGACCCACACACCTTTCCTGCAGGGTCTTGAGAAAGTGCTGACCTCTCAACTTGTATTTATTTTGAATTTAAAAACAAACAAAATATGGACAATGAGATTCCACGCCTCCCAGAAGAGGACCTGAAAGAGACACAGGAAGTCTGGCCCGAAATCCAGAGTCCAAGGGCAGAGGTCCACTGCAGCATTAGGTCTGGCTCAGGAGGTGACAGACAGCAAGGGGCTGGGTGAGTCTTTAGTCCGGATCAGAAATGCCGGCCACAGTCGCTCCAGGCAGCCCTGATGTCAAGGCCAGGCAGCTCAATTAGCAAGTCAAATTCGGAGATTAACAGGGAAGGTGTTTTGGGAACCTCAGCCAGGATCCAGGTTGGGTGGGACCCCAGCACCACCCTGCAGAGGTTTATCTCTGTCACCATGAGGTAGGTGGGTGGCTTGTCTGGCCTGTCCCACACTGGGCCCAGCCTGGGCTGCCACCTTGGTCCAAGAACAGCAGGATGTGGCACAGATTGGCACACATCTCTGGAGAGTCACATGTGATGAAGGGAAAGTCTCTGCACAGAGAGGGTTTCACTGCCTCCAGCCACACCCTATGGCTTGCAGCCCTTCCCTGCTCTCCTGAGCCTCCCACCTGCCTCTCCTGTCCTCAGAGCTGCCTCACCCTCCTCCCCCACCCCACCCTGAAGAACTTTCTGCACAGAAGTGGCTAGTAGTACCTGTCACTTGGGGCCCTCCATTCAATGTAAGAATTCATTCTTTCAGCAATGCTTTAAAATTAAACCACCAAGAGTCCTAGGGGAAATGTGACAAAGTTCTGAGGGTAGGCTGAACAGTAGGTCAAGTATTTTTACAGCAAATCCAGGATCTCACTTATTCACAGTGCAGAAACCCTGCTCAAAGTCCAGAGCCCGGAATGTGCAGGTGGCCCTTGGGAACCAAGCCCTTGAAAACCAGTGCAGTTATGTGGAGCCACAAGCCACAGGCTGCAGCCCATGGTCTACAAGCTGTCCATGTTCAGGACAGAGATGTGCCCACCTCCAAGGGTTTGGGTGGCACCTGCTGTCCCTACGGCTGAGTCCACAGCCTGGCCAGCTCCAGGGCCACAGCTCCTCACTCAGGGGCTGCACCAGAGCAGCCACAGCAGCTGGGGCGCCGCAGGGACTGCATGACGGCGCGCAGTGGGCCCCTGCGGCCCTCGGCAGACAGACTGTCCTTGCTGGATGGTGCCCGCTGCAGCTGCTCAAACTGCATCTCCAGGTGCTTCTGGATGGCCATGCCCAGCACCTCGGGATCCACAGAGGCTCCATACACCTCCCACGTCATGCCCTCGGCGTCCCACCGCACATCCCGCACAGGAGACAATGCTTCCTCCAGGCTGGGCCCCAGCATTACCTCAGGGAACATGTGCAGGGCAGAGGCTGCCAGGGACGGGCTGGTGGCCACTGCCTTGCAAGCTGCCACTGGGGCCGCCTGCACACCAGCATCCTGGGCCAAGGCCAACGTGGGAGCCAGGTCACTGGCAGAAGTCATGGTCCACACATCCTTGGTCCTACAGCCAGATTCTGTGGCTGGCACTACAGGGCCCCACGGGCAGGCACAGCAGTGAGCATGCCCTGGAAGCAGCCCTGGTGCTGTACAGTGAAACCTCACACCATGCTGAGCCTGCAGCCTGGACTCACTTACCGATGCCACCAGTTTGGGAAAGGCCAGGATCCCTGTTGCAGGCACGGGATGGCAGCAACCACTGGTCACCACCTCCCTCATGCTGCAGAGTAGAGCAGCTGGGGGCAGTGCATGGCAGGAGGCAGTGGCTGTCTGTCCAGCAGCTTTGGGCTCAGCCTGGGGATTGCTGCTGAGAGCAGCTGTTTCCCCCTGCTCTGGCGAGAGCTCCCATGTCTGACTATCCTCCAGCATCCATGCTGAGTTAGAAGTCTCATCTTCTTGAGCCATGTCTTGTTCCACAGCTGCAGTTGCTGGGCCACCCTGGCCAGAAACATCTCCAGGCTTCAGCTGAGCCCTGTGCACAAGGGAGCTGCCACCAAGAGCTGAGCAGCTGAGGCTGGCCTTCCGGGCACCACCACTCCCCTGTGTCTGGACACTGCGGGCCAGGTCTGAGTGGCTCCTCTGTACTGCAGCTATGCCAGGGACTCGCAAGCGGCCAAGATCCCCACTGCCCATCATGGACACATTGCCCACAGTGCTGCTCCGCCAGTGGCCCATGGCCCGCAGCTGAGGCTTGGGGCCTTGGGCCTGTGCTGCTAGGCTCTCAGGGAGGTGCTCCTCTTCCTCCAGGGCCTGGGGGCCAGCGCTGGCCTCACCCTCTTGCGTCTGCCACTCAGTGCTGCTGGCACTCTTTCGGAGCTCTGGCCTCTGCCTACTGCCTTCGCACAGAAGGCTGGAAGAACTCTGGGACAGGGGCTGCAGTCGAGGACTCTGGGATGCCCCAGAATCTGGCTCAAGGTGGCTGGAGCTCATGGCTGCCTGCAGGAGAAAAAAGGATGGGAAAGAGTTGAGCTGAAAGTCAGCTCTTCTGCCAAACTCTGAGCTCACACAGTACCAGGCACACTAGGGGCACAGCTTCAGTGCCAGCCTGCCTGACTCGTCAGCACTATATTTACAACACTATAAATATCAGCACCCCTAGAGCAGGGTCATGGAGACCAGCCACTGTGCTGGCTGCTAATTCTGTCTAGGTTATGGGAGAGGCAATGGGGGGCCCAGGGGAGAACCCAGGTCCCCCAGGGCTTAGACTACAACACTGGGAGCAGGGACTCTGAGACAATGGCTCAGACAGTCAACACTACAGTGCTGCAGAACCTTAACAGCCAGGACGGCTGGGCTGACCAACATCAACCTGGTCCTTCCAGGACTGACAACGTCTGTCTCACCATGGCCAGGGCCCCTGTGGGCATAGAGTGAGGCTCAGAGGTTTGTGACATGAGATGGAGCACATGCTGAGAAACACCCCAGGGTGTCCCCAGTCCCCTCCGGCCTGGCCTGGCTGTGCCGTCCAGCACTGGGATTCTTAGTGGACAGGACTCCTGCCTCTAGTTCCAGGCATGGAAAGGCCTCACCCAGCAGCTCTCATTCCTTCAACAGCCATCTTCTGAGCCCCCACCCTGGCCCACCTGCATTGTGAGCAGGCTCTGTATCTGGGCCACACAGGATCCACTTCGATCTGGCAGCTCAGATGCCCATCCAACATCAACTATCAGACATGTCCTCCATGACACTTCAACTCCCTCTTCCCCAGTGTGCTGTATCTTCCTATCTCTCTCCCTGCCACTGCTGTCGTCCCTTCCTCAGGCCACACAGAGCCCCCTGGAGGTGCACACTGACCAAGCAGTGGCACATGCTTCACAAACGGTGTCTCCTTGCCAGAGCAACCCCATGAGATAAATCGGCATCCCATTCTACAAAGGAAGAGGTCAAAACTCAAAGGTTCAGTGACTTGCCCAAGGTCACACAGCTGGCCAGTAGCTGAGTTCCTCTGCCCCTCTGAGCACCACGCAGACCTCCCTCTTAGCCACTGTCACCCTCTCCTGTGTCTCCTCCTGGGAGCCTTCCCTGGCCCATCCCTGCTGAACACCCTCAGGCCCAGAAGTAACAGGATGCCCTCCAGCCTCCCTGCCAGATGGAAGTCGGCAAAGTGAGGCTTGTGGCCTGCTTCCTACCACCTGACCAGCATGCTGCACTGACCTGACATCTGTTGCATGCCTGATAGATGGTATGAGCCCATGCAAGGACAGATCACTCAGGAGCAGGCTAAGTGCTCACACAGGCCCAAGGTGGCCCCTGCAAGGTAGTGAGCTTACACCCACCAGGGATGACCCAAGAGGCTTTCCTGAGGCCCAGGCATCAAAGTCAGGGCTAAAGGGAGGGGTAGACACAAGGTGCAGGCAGAAAGAATGGGCAGACAGAAGGCAAGAGGCAGAGGTTCAGAGCGTGCAGGGAAGCAGGGGCCAGGAGAACAGCAGGACCTGGGAAGAGCCCGGCTAAAGGTGCAGGTGAGGAAGATCACTCAGGGACACCCAGCCTGGCAGGACAGGCTGGAGAAACAGTACAGGAGAAGCAACTACAGTTTGGGCAACCCCCTGCCCTGCCCTGCCCTCCCACCCTGGGCTGATAAGATCTGCCAGGAAACCACCCTCTCTGGCCAGGCAAACAAGGCTACCGAAAGTGAGCACAGGAGGAGCTCCCGGACCCAGTTTCATGTCCTTGCAAACATCTCACTGTTGTGTACACAGGAGACAGCTAGTGGTTGCTCAGCTGATGACAAAGCTGGTTCTGGACTATGGGGCCAACTCAGCACAATGGAAAGGCTCTGCCCACACCCTCAGTCACACGAGGCTCCTGAGTACCTGACAAGCAGCTACAGTGGTCAAGAAGTTGCATTTCTGATCTTATTTGAACTTAAGTCATCTAGACTTAACTGGCCACATGTGGTGAATGGCTTGCAGCTCTGAACACAGCTACACCTTGGAGCTGAAACCAGCCTGGTCCCAGGAGAGGCAGGTAAAGGGTACGTGGCCAAGCACTGCTCTCAACCCATTTTAAGATGGACAGATAAACAGAAGAGGGCATTACCAGCTCCAGCGCCTAGCACCCACTGTGTGCCAAGCATGTGCCACATGCTTCACAAACAGTGTCTCGTTGCCAGAGCAACCCCATGAGATAAATCGGCATCCCATTCTACAAAGGAAGAGGTCAAAACTCAAAGGTTCAGCGACTTGCCCAAGGTCACACAGCTGGCGAGTAGCTGAGTTCCTCTGCCCCTCTGAGTGCCACGCAGACCTCCCTCTTAGCCACTGTCACCCTCTCCTGTCATCCTCTGGGGCCCCATCACCCAGCCCATCTTCTGACATGTACAATGCCAGTGAAGCAAATAAGTGGGAGCAAAGCTGGCTCCCACCCACTCCATTTGCTGCTTCTGTGGCTTCCCAGAGTGAGGAGTGCGGGGTGCACACCTGCTAGCCAGAAGCCTGTGGTCCCCACCCAGCCACAAGTCCAAGAACCCCCCAAGGGTCCTATCAGGGCATCCTTGGGTGGAACCCCATATTTTAGACCCTCTTAGGGAGTAAGGCCAGAGCCAGGCCAATCCCTAGCCCCATAAGGACAGGTGGGACAAGACCTAGTGAGAAGCCGTCAGTGCCAGGAGTCTTTCTGTGACTACCCCAAAAGATTAGCTGTCCCCCAGAGAGACCAGTGACCACAGGGACCCCACTGAGGACTATTTATCTACTGGTTCCTTTCCATATCCCACCACCCACCAATTGGCAGGTGGGAAAAGTGAGCAGTTAAAAAAACAAAAGTGTCTAAGAACCCAAGGCTGAAAGTGGCTGATTTAGAACTCAGCAAGGCTTCTCTTGCAGCATGGCCTTCACAGCCCTGGGAGAGACAGGGCTCCAAGGAAGTCCCTTTAGGTCTCCCTGGAAAAAGGAGGGGTCCCATGTGCCCTGTCACAGCTCCTCCCCGCCCCCCTTGAGCTAGAACAAGGAGTGGGCTCTGCCCTTAGCCCCACATGCATAGAAAGGAAGGGGCATATAGGGCTCTGCTTCTAGCCCTTTCTTTCCCTCTCCTGCAAATGTGCCCTTAGGTGGACACCTCACTTCTTTGAGCCTGTTCCCCCAATCTGAAAAATGGAAGTAAGCCTCCACACTGCAGGGCTGTTGTGAACACTATAAACTCAACAGTATATGGACGGTGATAATCATTTTCTCTTCTCCATTTTGAGCAGCTGGGGCTGAAGGGGTTGCTGGAGCTAGGACTGGGGGGCAGTAAGGTCCTTTTAGAAAGCTCCCACAATGTCCCATAGGTCAGCCTGGTCTTCTGTCCACCCTTGCTACCTTCATCCTATCCCAGGGCCTGGTCATCACCAGTGTCCCCACCACCATGCTGTTTCCCAGATGCTACTTTAGTCCACACTCCAGGAGGATTAACACACGCACAACTTTGGAGTCTGCTCGCCAAATGCCCACCTGCCTTCAGTGGGAAAGGTCCAGTTTCCCTAGGACAATGTATCAGCAAAGTAAAGACACATAGGGGCTCCTAAGAATATTAGTATCCTTCAGGCTGCCCCATGTGATGCTAAAGTTGTGATGGCTGTGGCCAGTGTTCTGTGGCCAAAGCTGGGCAGCAACTACAGGACCAACCAGCCTTGCATGCAGTTGTTAATCAAGGTCATTTTGAGCAAAAGCTCCAGTTCTATGGAAACTTCTAGACTGCCCAGCCATATTGCTTTGTTGGTTGACTTGGTCAGATGTTCCAATTCTCACTCTGGCAGAGGATCCCAGGGCTTTACAATGCACCTAGGAGCTCCCATCTCAGACCACACTGTGGCATTCCTGTTAGTTCCCTCTTCGTCAGCCAGAGTCATTTGAATGATGTCTTCTGTGTCCAGCAGAACCACAGTGGGAAAATCAAATCCACAGGGTCAAGAGGGCAAACTGATCACATGACAAGGTGCAGAACTTACCCCTTGGGGACCAGGTAAGGATCCACATCCCACAAATCTCTCAGTGCATGGTGAGGGCTTGGCAACCTCCAGCAGGTGGTTTAATCCATCCCAGAGGGAAAGGGGCCTGGCAGGAACACTCAGGGCCAAAGCTGGGCAATGCAGCAGGGAGAATCTGGGACAGGGGGTGCTTGCAGGGGGCCAGGCCTGCCCATCACAGAGAGGACACAGATGCCATAAGGCAACACGTCCCAAGTCACAAGCAGTGCCAGGAAAGTGTTTAAGGATCATATGCCCAACCACTCTGCACAGCAGAGATTCAGGCCCAGGCAAGCTTCCTCCCAGGAGAGGCTCTGCCCACACTCCCCAGCTTGCTCCATTCTAGAAGCAGCCCAGGTGGCCAGTGTGTCCCTCCCTCACACCACTCACAGACACCGTGCCAGTGTGGACACATGAGGCAGAGGACACACCAGAGGCCGGGCACCACTCCTGTGCGGGCAGCCTGCAGGGAGGCGTCCACGCAGCTGCCCTTCGCAGCCAGTGCAGGCCAAGGCCCGGGGACCCATGCATGGCCTCGCCCTGGTGCAACGCCCCGCCTTCCCAGGCGAGCCCCCACCCCGGAGCAAGACCGCGGGCATTGGGCTGCAGACCTTCGGACAAGGCAAGGGTGGAGTTAGGCGGTCTGGGAATGCCGGCAGGGACAAGGGAAGGTGGAGCAGGTTCTGGCCCTGGAGGGGGCACCTGGGGAGAATGGGGGGATGGGAGCGGTGGGGAGGCCGCGAAGCCGGAAGAGGGGCAGAGATGGATGGGGGTGCGGCCCAGGGCCGCGAACATCCCGGGAGCCTGGATGCCAAGGTCCGAAGCGATGAGGACG